TAGCCGGTCAACTCCATCTTGATACAGCCACAGGGTCTGGCTGTACGGCCTCTGGCCTTGCGTCTGGTGCTGGCAGGCCTGGCAGATCGCAATGCCCTCGATCTCGTTGGCGTTTCGAAGGCCTCGGCAATCTCTCACCTTGTGGAATCGCTTTCCACTCGGTGCAAAGTAGGCCACCTGCACCGGTTGTGCATGGTCTCATCGCCCTCCTTCGGCCGCTGTAGACCTTTGGTTGTGCCACCATGGTCAATGATGAAGGAGGTTCTTCATGGGGCTCTTCCACGTCATCACCTCTCGGATCACGGCTTGTGGCCTCCCTTGAGGTACTCGACAACGGCCTCGGTGGTGTCGATGTAGACCCACTCACGCCGCTTGCTTGGCTCTCAACTGAAAGCCTTGACACCATCACCGTAGCAGTCGGTTGTGGCGTTGGGGTTGCACTTGTGGAGACATTCCGTCCTTCTTCACTCATGTTCAGCTGCTCCGACCTCCTTGACTTGATGCATCGTCGGCCCTTTTCCAGCATCTTGACCAGGACTATACCCACCAACATCATGACCACGCCAAAGATCATCAAGATCTTGTTGCCCTCCTCGTTCTCCTCCAATGGTGTTCCCTTCGAGTCTTGGACAGCGCCATGCACTGTTTGTAGGGCGCTCAGGACCATCACCATCCTTGTCGAGCTACCAACTTCATGGCTCTTGGTGCAGTGATGCCCTTGGCCTCTTCGTGCACCTCATCTACGCTGTCCGGCTGCCACCCCATGGACTTTCTTTCTCGCAAGTCCTTCATCTTTGCGATAGGTAGTGCCTTCGTGCCCACGTCAGCGATCAGCTCGCGTCCAGGCTGGTATTTCAGCTCCCATAGTCTTGCCTGAAGTTTCCACCTCAAGTGTGCTGCCCTCACTTTCAGGTGTCTTGTTCTCCAAGCTCCTGTCGCACAGCTTGCAATGGACACCGCCGCAGTGTTGTCGCACTTGAGGTACTTGGCAACTCCAGCGATGCTGTCGCCAACCACCATTGCCCCGATGACCTCGATGAGCTCTGCTTCTGCTGTTGACGGAGCTGGAAATGGCTGCTTGCAGCTTTTCCAAGCTACCGGAGTTCCTCCCAAGGTGGTGATGACGCATCCATGACTGTGAGCTCCGCCAGGTGCGAATGAGGCGTCGCTAACTGACTCCAGGATCAGTGGAGCATTGTACCATAGCCCCAACCCTTGAGTGGCATTGAGGTGTCGAATCAGCTGGCGTGCCGTTTTGATTGCCCACGACGGTGCCCTGCTTGTAGCCGAACAGATCCTGCTCACCACATAGGCGATGTCTGGTCTTGTTTTGGTCGCCAGCCACAGTAGTTCTCCTGCTAGCTGTTGTGCTTCCTTCGCCTGGGTCATTGGGGCGTTTAGCTCTGTCTCCGGTTCTTGGGAGTCCTTCATGAGTTGAGCACTGCATAGATCCTCCATGCCATGCCTCCGCACCACTTCCCGCAAGTAGGAGCACTGGTTCGCGCGGTAGTCACCATGCTCTGTTCGGCTCTCCTTCGCCGACCCAGGTGCTGAAGCCCTTGTTCCACCACCTCCTTGGTACCAAAGAGCATCACATCGTCCACGTAGACCAGTACAAGGCCTTCGACATGAGCCTCCTCCACAGCATCCTTTCGGCGGACAAGCCACAAGTCTGTTCTCCTCTGGAAAGCTCTGCTGGTACTCACACTCCGCATGGCCCACCGTGAGAGACATCTGGCTGATTTCGATGTCTCTACAGTCCCACCATTCCCGGAGTCCATATAGAGTGCCTTTTCAACCAGCCACATCTCACCTTTCTTTGCCAATCCAAGGCGAATGAGCAACTTGGGCGGAAGCTTCGTCGTCACCCTCGGGGCCCTGCTCACACTGCTCCTCCACCCAATCTTCCAGCAGTTGAGGTGAAGTCTCTTCTTGATGTCGCCCATGAGCATCCTCCAAAGCCATGGCCTTCTTCTTGCTGCTTTCCTGCAAGGTCTGCAATGGAGCGTTGAGAAAAGCTGTTTTGATGTCCAGGCTGGCTGCGTGCCACGCCCTCGAAGCTGCCAGTGCCAACGAGGTCCTCAAACAAGTAGTGTCGGCTCCTCCAGCGTACAATTGCGCTGCTTCTGACCGATCCATTGCGCCCCGGCCTGCTCCCTTCAAGTAGTTCCCACAAACCACTAACCGACGTTTTCGTCGTCCATCTGGGGCTTTCACCGCATGGATTGCCTTGCCAGGAACAATCTCAACCTTATCTCCATGCTCTCGCTGGTAGTAGGCGACTTCCGCAGGTGTCAGGCGTGAATCTCCTTGATGATGGCCTCAATCCACAACTCTTTGTCGCGGTAGACCTCGTCGTTGGGCACGATCCTGTTTTGCAGGACTTCATCTTCGAGCAGGCGATCAGCTGCTGCCACCTGCTCCAGTCGTAGAGCTGTCAAGCCCCTTGCAATTCCCGAGGTGCTGAAAACAGCATGTGCTTCCCCTCCTCGTAGATTGCCTGGAAGGGTTGCCTGCGATCGTCCTCCACTTCAAGTTCCTCCGCCCCTTGGATGCACGCCAACGGAGTTTTTTCCCGCAGCCTCCATCGTAGGCAAATTGGGTCCTCCTTAACATGAACTTCCTCCAGCTCAATGGCATCCTTGATCAGGTAGCTCACGACCTTCACCTTCTCTTTGTCAGTGAGAACAGCATGCCTCAGGTGTAGTGTCAGGTAGGTCACGTGCTCTGAGGTCACTTCGAACGGTCCTCCCCTTTCCCATGCCCTCTTTCTTGCGGCGATCAGCTGACCAAAGCGTGGGAGCTTCTCCTTGATGTTCTCCCTCCGTCTCTGCTCCAGCTCAGTGACATGTCTCGCCGCTGCAGGCCACCACCTCGTCGGCGTGTTGCTGCCATGTAGGCGACGCCGGACTTGCTGCTTGATGGAGGCAATCATCGCCTCCGCTCTTCCGTTGCTCTGGTGCTCAGCTGAACGTCCGGAGATTCCTCTCTGCAGGCACCATTTCTTGAAGGGCGCGTTGTCGAACTCCCGGCCAGCGTCAGTATATGTACCCTGGCAACTGGGTAGCCGTGCTTCCTCAACTGCCCATGCATACAGTTCTTGAGTGCCGGCTACCACCTCCGAAGCGCTCTTCGATGCCAAGGGAGACAGATAGACATTGTGACCATCTTGTACACCTTCTGGAGCTCCTCTGGCTCCTCCAGCGTCTTCGGACTTGGTCTTGATCCTCTTGGATCTTCCCCTTGCTTGCGGTCACCCTCCACCGGATCACCTTCATCTTCTTCTTCATGTTCGTCTTCTTGAAGTAAGACCGCCATCTCATCATCGCTCTCTGGCTCTCGAAGATCTTTAGCCTCTCCCTCCTCCGTAGTGGGCCTGTAGGACCTAGGAGAAGTCGTCGCCCTCTGGTTGTTGAGGTTGTTGAGGTTCTTCGTAAGCCACATCTCGAAGAGCTTCTTCTTCCTCAATCCTGGGCCAATCCGGATGAACTTCCATCTTCTCAAGCTCGTCCCATGGCGCTTCACTCATCACCGGCCAGGTGTATGCGCCGACTAGGAGGTACTTCTTGAAGTCTCCATCAATGTCTGTCCCTTTCACGAACGGGCCAGGCAGGTCCAGAGACAACACACATGGGGCTGCCACTCCTTGAGCTCGGTGAGGACGGTCCTTGGCTGCTGCTCGTTGACAGACTGCGCAGTCCCTTCAAAATGGCACATGCCCTTGGGCCAAGTGTTCTTGCCACGACTGAAGTGCCTTTACCTGCGTCTCAAAGCCAAGGCGCTGATCTCGAAGTTCATCTCGCAAGTCTCGGTTCTCTTGCCTCAATGCCTCAAGCAGCGTCAACATCTGCTGTTGCATGATTGCTGCAGGATCCATACCATATTGTACCCCTTGATGTCCCGGGTCAGGTCCAGGTTGTGGTGACATGGGAGGTTGGTCCACTACCATTTACTGGTACAAGTTGATCTCCCTGTTGAAGTGCTACCTGAAGGTCGCAGTCATCTGGGCGAGCACCTTGCTCCTCTTCCCCTTCTTCACCATTCATCAAGGCCAGCTGTTCTTGTTCCACGGGCTCCTCCAAGATAGGAGGGGTTCGCAAGGGACCTGTATCTTCGGCATCTGCCCCTGCAGTTCTCCTGGTCGTACTCCCGGTGATGGAGTCCCAGTGGTAGTGCTCAGTTGTGGAGCCTTGACCTCTTCCTTCTCCAAGAACGAAGGGCGAGCCGGTTCTGGGGTGGCGTCTTAACAGGTTTTTCGACTGACCACGTCTGTTCTCTCCGTACAGGTGGGGTGCTTGGCTCCTCATCTCCTCCAGCCCTCTCAGTTGCTCAGGACTGAAGAGTCGAACCGGTGCCAACTCCCTTGGCTTCCCCAAAGGCCCCTGGTGCTGCTCCTCGGCCGCCAGCTGCTCAGCCGCTTGCTCGCCTTCCAAAGCGCGCTGCCGCTGCCGCCGCCGCTGGTTGCCATTCATGGCGTCGGGCTGCCCAGGGATCGACCTCCTCTACCTGGGGCTTACACCTCAGAGATTTGGGCTCATAACCTGTGGGTCAGAGCTGCGCCAACCACCTTTTGACGCTCGAACAAAAACGGCTTTAAACCGCTCAAGTTGGTACACTTCTCTACGAGTGCGGCTTTCTATCCTGCAAAAAGAACAGCTGCGTGCCTTGGAATACACATCCCATATATATATATACACACACATATGCATATATATATATATACATACTGTATATAGTATATAAACATATCAATTTCGAGCCGAGCCAAAATCGACGAAAAATACGTTCCTCAACAGGCTGAAGGATTTTGCGCAAGAAACTAGGGTGTCATAATTTCAACTACATTTATATGTATCTCCAGTCAAGATTGGTCGGAGTTCTGAATTTTTGGTTTGCGACTGGTATAGTGGTACAGTGGTATAGTGACTAGTATAGCGCCGAAATCAATTCATTGGACATTTCTGTCGCCCAGCTGACAAGCGAAGCTCCAAAGAACCCAGGCCTGGGCTCCTCATCAGGAAGAAGGGCCTGGCAACCCAAGATGAACTTGTTTGCATTCTCCAGGATCCCTCGGATCACTTGATTAACTATTTTGTACATGTTTCATGTCAATTTGCAAATGATTTCAATCGAGCCAAACCTATCTCTCCGTTGACGTTTTTGTCCTCATTCAGGCGAGGCCAGTTTGATCCTGCTCACGAGGCCACGAGTTATTGATGAGAATTCATAATATAGTAACAAGAAACTATTAGAAACAATCAACTACTAGGAACAAGTGCATCGCTTCTAGTAACAAGTGCCTTACTAGTAGTAACCAGAAACTATTAGAAACAATAAACTACTACGAGGAAAACTGCACCCATGTTTGGGATGGTAAGATAAGGGCAGTGGCGGTGGTGGCCAGGTTAGCTTCAGGTCCAGAGTGGTTCTTTGGAACGTTGATCTTTTATATATATATATATATATCAAGTCAGAACTGATGGATTAAAGGGGATGCTACAACAGGCGGCACAATGCAACAAAGTGTGCCGTAACTTATAAATCGAGAAACCAGCATCATATTTTTATTTTGCTCATTTGGTTTTGCCGCTACCAGTTTCCATATGCCTGCATCTCTTTCTTCATCACAGTTGTCTGGCGGAGCTCTCAGATCTGGATGCTCTTGGACTGAGATCCCATCCGATTTCATAGACTGTCACGTGGGACATGGACTTTCTCCTGTCTCCGTTCCTTTTGAGCAGAAGCAAGGGTTTGATTAGTATGCGTGTGTGATTCATTAAATGTTCCTTTGGTTTTGCTGTTCAATCCAAACAAATGCTCAAACATTTGCTGGCAAACGCTATGTGATTGAGCTCAGGTTGGAAGGGCTTCTACACTTGGCATGGTGTGCCCCGCAATGGGCGGGAGAGGTTTTGCAAAGGGGGCTACCATTTCGTTTCTGCACCAACGCCAGTACAGCAGTGTTGCTCCTGGCTATTACTTGTCTTTTCCTTTAGCTTGCGATCAAACCCATATACTCAAATCAACGAAGCACTGTGCAAACTTCAATCAGATAGAACGTCCAGTTGGGCGAACCCCCCACGCCTGTTTGTGGACAACCCACAGCCTGCGCTGATGCCAGGCCCAGTGAAGATTTGGCAATGCTGCCAAAGCACCTTGGATTCAACTCTGCCGTCTTATAGGCTTAGCAGCTTAGCACAAAAACAATGTACAGTGTATGTACAGTTAATTATGCAGTGTACAGGTCTTCATGTCTCACTCCCCACCCCCCACCTACAACTCCAGCTTTGCCTTTGTTGCTAGTGAAGCTTAAGCGATGTTCGTTTGCATTCCTATATTGTTTTTGTGTCGCAGTTAGCTAGGGTTTCTTGACTGAGTTGCCTGAATGTTTAATCTACCTGGTAATGTTGACTTCAGCCGATCAACCTCGAATAGCAGAAGGGGTGCCAAGTGATGACAGAACCCCCAATGCCAGAACTTTGGTTGGGCAAGCACAAATGAGCACAGGGTTAGATGCTCACGAGTCCCCATTGTTGGTCAAGGCGATTTCGTTCGGTGCTCTTCTTAGACGTCCAGGACCCAGTATGATGAGTAGTCTGACAAGGTTCACTCTCAGACTCTAGGGGAGTTGCTTAAATGGAAACATGAGCTGCCCTTGCGGGGGAATAGCTGAAGGTGTTTGGCATGGCTGATGATGTGAAAGCTGGCGAGGACGGAGCCCTTGTGCAAAGTTGTTTATCCCAAGCAAAGACGACTATCCCACACCGTGTTCAACTGGCAGGAGACAGCAGGCCTCCCTGTGTTTCTATTTGTTTTGTCTTATTCTTACTCCGACGAGTCCTTGAAATCAATCATTGATCGATTGAGTCGCAGGCACCAATCAGTGATGAAGTCTTCATTTGGTGAAGACTGGATCAGTTCAAATTGGAAGTCCTGCAGGTCAGCCACTGGTTGAGATCTCCAGGGAAGAGGCAGCCAGGAGCTCAGCGAGTGTGGACAGAACTGTCCGGCCTCTGCCTCCAGACGGGCGGTGTTATCACTGCAGTGCACGCAATCGATAGTCTTGTGGCCATCCGTGGACTTGCAGATTTTCCACTTCCGCACTCGTCACTATGATCCGCCAGAATCCACGAGCTCAGGAAGCCGCTGATGAGGCAGTCAGCCTGGCAGAGGCGGCTGTGAGGCGGTGGAATGCCCTTCCCATGGGCACTGAGGAGGCACAGAAGCACCAGGCGTTGCACACAGCTCTTCTGGGATTGGGCCGAATATGACGATGGTTCACCATGACGTTTGTACACCATGGGTGATATACCATAAGTTTGATGTGGTTGGTTAACTTTTAGGTGATGTCCCTGAGGACAGAGCAGTTTGCGATTGCAATCCCTGTATGCGTGTGAGGCAGAAATCCATCGTTTGCATGCCCAAGCATTGATGTGGCGCAAGGACTGAATACACCAAGCTTGAGTGCTAACTTTGAGTGTTTGACATGTGTTGCTGATGGAAGCACTTCTTCCTTTTTTGCGGTTTCGGCGGCTTTATCCCCCTCGCAGGTTCTCAACGGGGAGGCTGCCAAGCGTGCTCAAGCACGGGGAGATATCCACGAGCTGGACCTGCAGTGGCCTTGGTGCGATGGACATGAATCTTGATGGCTTGAGGCGGCCAGGCGGCTAGACTCTTTAGCTTTGCGGTTGTGCATTAGCCAGTTAAGAAGCCACCACCAGGCTTTTGGGTATTGGCCTTGGCTACTCCCTAACTGCTACGTGCTAGTCCTCTGGCTAAGCCAATGAGTCTTGGGAGAGTCGATGGAACCCTGTGTGTGTGTGCCCCTTGTAGTCACAGGGATTCTTTTGAATTGTAATTTGTTTTGTTTTAAGCAGGGGGACCATCCATGTGCTGTGAGCGATGGTCCAACGAAGCGGCCACAGTACATGCGGATATCTGGCCTGATCAGCCAGACGTACCTGCAGTAACAATTTTTACCTTCCGTAAAGAGCTAATGAGTTCTGCAGATGTGCACGTACGACGTCAACCTGTCGCTTCGACTCCGGCTTGCGCTTTGGGCCACATTTACTTTTAGAAGACCCCCAGGCCCCAGGCTCTTTAGGGCTTTCCTGGACCTTTCAGGATTTGGGTTTCTTAGGCCGGCGTGTGGCACCGCTGTCAAGTCAGCGCGCAGGTCCATAAGTGTGTCTGGCCTCGTGCCAGTCCGGGATGAGCCCGTAGAGTGCCTCCCGTGGACCCGTCGATCGGGTGTCTGTCCATGTTCCCCGGCTTTGGGAACGTAGGTGTCCGGAGCGGACAGCAGGAGGCTTATGCCAAAGTTATTTGCCAAGACTTGTCGGATTATTGAATTCCAAGTTGGCTCATGCCTTTGCGTGACCGCAGCTGTCAAAACAGCCAGCCACTTTGGCAGGGCACAAGGTGACCACAGCGGTCAAAGCACTTTTGAGGTTCGCTGGAACCTGTCCCACTCTCAGGTGCACACACAGCGTTTACATTCAAACGAGGCTGGCTCCTAGGTGCTTCTGATGAGGTTTGGTTTCATCGGCTCTCGTCTCCTCCATTTGGTTCCCCTTTCATCCCTTCCCCTTCACACACTTTTGTTTCCTCTTTTCTTTCATGTCCTCCTGTCTTCATGTCTGGTCATCTCATCCTTTTCTTCGTTTGCGCGCACATTGGTCCCGGCCTTAGTGCGTGCACTTCCACATACATTTTAACACAGGTTTCAGGTCGCCCAGGTCTTTACAATGAGGTGGGCTTCATCGGGTGTCCCTGTGCACTTGGTTCCCCTTTCATCTCAACTGCATGCACCTTTGTCCCGTCTCGTCCTCCTGTCATGTCTTCGCTCTTTTGTCTCTTGTGCGCGCGCGTGCACATTTGCCCTCACCTTAGCTTTACGCCTCCCCTCGGGGAGGCGTGTGTGTGTGTGTGCCCCTTGTAGTCACAGGGATTCTTTTGAATTGTAATTTGTTTTGTTTTAAGCAGGGGGACCATCCATGTGCTGTGAGCGATGGTCCAACGAAGCGGCCACAGTACATGCGGATATCTGGCCTGATCAGCCAGACGTACCTGCAGTAACAATTTTTACCTTCCGTAAAGGGCTAACGAGTTCTGCAGATGTGCACGTACGACGTCAACCTGTCGCTTCGACTCCGGCTTGCGCTTTGGGCCACATTTACTTTTAGAAGACCCCCAGGCTCTTTAGGGCTTTCCTGGACCTTTCAGGATTTGGGTTTCTTAGGCCGGCGTGTGGCACCGCTGTCAAGTCAGTACGCATATCCACAAGTGTGTGTGTGTGTGAGAGTCTCTGCAATTTTTTCTCCAGGTGTTGGACATGACTCAGCCTCATATGTGGCAACTTGCACGCTGAAACCTGTGCAAGCCTGTTACAAGTTCACTCAAGTGCTGTCACTCACCTACTTGCGAACATGGTCTTTGTGGAGCCAGACAACATTATCCGTCAAGGATGCTCTCTAGGCCATGTTGCATGTTCTTAGGAGATCTTACTGCTCACGTTTGTGCTGGCCCCCTTCCTGTTGGATCTGTGATCTTTTTAGGTTTGCCGCTGAAGGAGCTCGGAGTCGGCTCTCCGTCTATCAAGCACCACCTTCCACGACGAAGCCTGATCGGAGCTGCCCGGTCAACCAGGGCCGCAGACTAATGGCGTGGCGCCATCTGCCTCCTCAAGCACACGTACGACGTTCAGTCTCTATTGCGTGGTAGTGGTTATGAGATTGCGTGGGGCGGCTCCAGGAACAAAAGGACCAGTGCATGTTGCAGCAACTTGGAGGTACCCAATTCCGACATGTCATTCTCACCCCCGAGCGCCGCAAGGCCTGACGATAAGGGTTGACGTTTTGGCACCTTGTGCGTGGCAATGTGATTTTAGCGTATTTTAACATTTAGTCTTTTTGATCTCTGGGTGCATTACGGCGCAGAGAAAAGAATAACTTTGTGTGGATGTATGCCCATACTCAGCGGCCATCAGCGGCCATGCGTCCGTGCGCTCATTATCGTACGTCTGACCACAAAAAACGGAACGCGACCATGACCTCCTACATCCTCCTGTCTGCCATGAACATTTGATCACGCGGTGCACATATCATGCTCGCGCATCCTGTAGCTTTTTCCCCAGATAGCGAAGCTATATGGGGTTCTTACTTCAAACAACAATGAGTTGGCCGCGCGCGCTTTCGAGACAGGTTGCTGGTGCTGGGTGGCGGCGCTGGTGCTGGTGCTGGGTGCTGTGAGCTGGCTGTCCACGCGGTGGAAACAGGTTGCTGGTGCCGGTGCTGGTGCTGGGCGCCGGGTGCCGGCGCTGGTGCTGTGAGCTGGCTGTGCACGTGGTGGTGACAGGTTGCTGGTGCTGGTGCTGGGCGCCGGTGCTGGTGCTGTGAGCTGGCTGTGCGCGTGGTGGAGACAGGTTGCTGGTGCTGGTGGTGGCTGTGCGCGTGGTGGAAACAGGGTGCCGGGTGCTGGGTGCTGGGTATACCCGGAGCTGGTGCCCGCTTCTGACAGTGAAGTGATTACAACCGCCGCTTCTGACAGTGAAGGGTGACAAACCGCCGCTTCTGACAGTGAAGGGTAACAAACCGCCGCTTGCAGCAGTGAAGGGCGACCAAGCGACGCTTCTGACGGTGTTTTCGCTTGAGCGTAAACTTATACGTGCAAGATCATACGTTGTTATTCCCCAAAAATTTTAAGGGATAGCTATGGGGTTCTTGCTGCAAATAAGAATGAGCTGGCTGCGCACGCTCTCGAAAGGGTGTCGGTGCTGGTGCTGGTGTTGTGGTCCTGGGTGCTGGTGCTGTGAGCTAGCTGAGCGCGCGTTTAAGACGGGCGGCGGCGCTGGTCGGGTGCTGGCACCGCTGCCGGTGTTGTCAGCTGGCAAAGCGCACCGGTGCTGGTGTCAGCTGATTGTGCGCGCTGTGGAGCTGCCGTAAGCTGGCTGTGCAGGCTGCGTACATTTGTTCCAGCCAGTCGCGTGTCAACAGGTCGTGGGATTCTGCCTAGCTATCTGAGTCTATGCTGGTGTAGTTTTGGGATAGCGCGTATATACATGTTGAAAAATTTTTAAAAGTGTTGCTTGTTTCCGACCTTATGAACTACGATGCCAATGGAGTTTGGGTAGGGTCCACATTTATATATATATACATATATTTGTAAAAGAGCGACTTCTCAAAGCACCCACCATCTACTGTGCCACAAAACATGATGCGAATGTCCAATTTACGAAATTGCTTCACAAAACCTTTATCCCAACCAAACCTAGCGGATCTATGTGAAAAGTTAGACGACAAAAAACATCTTACTGGACATATCTTGAGTTCAACAATCTCCGACCCTGTTCGACAAGTATCGTTTCAACCTGATAGAATGGATAGTTCATTGGGACCAGTTGATACACCGACGAGCTGAATATCGAAACACAGAGTATTGTGGTATATGCTTACCTCAACTTGTTGATGTTGCTTTATTGTAGGTGCCTGTGTTGACAACGGTCCCCAGGTCTGAAGATGTTTGGAGTGGGGTTAGTGTCACCTGCTTTGTTTCCCCCCCCTTCTTTGTGGGTTCTGGGACCCCTGGCCCTTTGGGAACCTTTCCTGTGATGGGACTGGTTGCCCCGTGTTGGCGCCGCGGTTTCTTGTGCTTTTGTCCCGCCCGCCTCCCTAAAACTGGCGGGTGTTTTTGCCCTGCGTGACTGATGCTCTGTCTTGACCATGTAGTAGGTGATTTGTGCGACACAGATGCGTGGGTGTGAGACCACAGGTTGCCAGTCTTGACCGAGAAAAAGAGCGCGGTTTGGAGAGTGGGATGTGTGGATAGAGACTGTGGCTTCTGGTTCCCCTGACATCCTGGCACTTGTTTGAGACTTGTGGAAGATTGAACCGTGCAGGCCATCGGCTTTTCTTCATTCTGTCTTGGCAGGTGCTCGACCAGGATGCCACTAATAAATTGGTTGGCGCTGGTCGTATAGGGTAGTGGAGCTTTCCGAGTGTGTGTTTCGTATTGGGCAGATTGGGCGCCCAGTAAAGTTGCATCATTGTGTGCTTTGCTTGCTGACGTTGATGATGGTGCTGTGCTGCCGGGCCTGGTTGACCTAATTGAATCAATGAGTGCCATTGGTTTGGCCGGTGGGTTTGTAAGCAACACACACATGCTACGAAATTGACAAACTGACTTGGTTGCTCGCACAGTGTAACTTTCTTGGCTGGCACAGCTTGCTTGCACTACTGAGGTTGGAACCCGACCTGCGAAGATGGAATCAACTCACCGAGTTTGGGCACCGAGGGCACTGCATTGGGGTGACGTTTGGCTGGGGGGACCTGTGCGGGCGAGCTACGTACAAGCAGTGGATATGTATACTGACTGAGTATATACCAATGTAAATACAGACGCAACTTATCATACATATCATATGTACATATACAATCATATTCATATACATGTCTTTTGGGTTTCGTTGCAGTTTCTTTTTGTTCTTCGCTCTGGGATGTTTTATGTTTTCCAAGAAGTAGTGGCAACTTGGCCCAGGGAGGAGAAGGAAGAAGACCCCTTTGCTGATTCGCTCCTTGGACCTTTCCAGAATGCTCAGGGTGAGGCAGGGGGAAATCAGGCGAATCATTTCCACTGCGGATTGCCGTTAAATGCATGTTTCACTTGTGTGTTCATTCTTTTCATATAGTTGCATCATGCTTCTAGGAATTAAGCTGTGGATTTCCCGAGTCAAAAACCTGCCATGCTGAGATGCAGAGCATTGGTGCATTGTGGGCCGTGTGTTTCTAGCAACCACACATGTTTCAACGGTGTTCATGGACGGACGATGCTCTTTCGTCAACTACACATGAAGCTCCTCGGCATCAACGTTCTTCTTTCGAGCAACGCTACAATGTTGTTCGCCTGTCGGACAGGTGTACTACTATCACCTTGAGAGCATGCAGTTTGTCCGTACCTCACCATTTTGGTTTGCTCTTCCAATACCAAAAAGGGTTGGAGATTTCCCTTCCGGATGGCTTGAAGCGTTGTGAGCAGTCCAAGCTTTGGCACTATCAGGCTCCTTCAAAAAAGCATTATGCTTACCAGATCCCGTAAATTCTTTGGAGAAGGGACTGGTACTGTATCAACCAAAGTCGAAGTATTCTCCCTGTACTTGAACGTTTGGAGGACGACTTGGCTTTCTCATGAATCAGATTGAGTCAGACCATTATTGTGGAGGCCTTCACGACACATGCAAGACTGAGGTTTGGAAGCCAGAAGAGCAGGGCGTGCTGAGTCTTACTCAGGTGTGCCGGCCTGCCATCAAACCAATTCTGTTCCAAAAACCCTAGGTGAGTGAGGAGTTTGAACCCGCTATACCGTATTTTGGAATTATTTTTGATGCATTCATTCTTATTTATATAGATTATTTAAGGGCTGCCGCCCCTGCCGCCGACCCCGGGACTCAACTGCAGCTTGCACTCGCCAAAAAGCTATGGTTCAGGTGACTACGACAGAAATTCCGAGACCGGTTCAGGGGCCCCTGCAGAATCCCTGTACCAGCATGTATAGTTCTTTGCGCACTGGTGCTACCCAGTTGGATCCTCATCCAATGGGTTTTAGTGGGTCTACATGCCACACTGTAGATCTTAGCGGCAGATCAAAATAGAGTTTTCAACAAAAGGGACTGAAACAGAAGCAAGTGTTTCAAGCGAGTCGCTGAATGCATCCGCTTCTGCACATCGTCCTTGCTCCTTGCCCTCTTGGCTGACTTCTTTTTTGCCTGGGCCTTTCCTTTTGGTTCCTGGGCCCTCTTCTTTGGCTGGTTGACCTTTGCCTTTGCCTTAGCTTTTGGTTTGCTTTTTGGCCTTGACTTTGCTTTTGCAGTAGGCAAAGAACTCCTGCCAGCTTCAGACTGCTCTTCGCGTTCGCTTGGGCCAGCCTGGGAAATCATAGGCAGAGAAACTGTTTGGAGTATGGGTGGAATGCACAGTGTTTGCAAGCAAACCAGCTCAGCTTAGAGGCATCCCGAGGCAAAGCTGGATCATTGGGTGAAGCATCAGGCAATAGTGTGGGCTCACTGACAAGGTCCTCACAAAAACATAAAAAACAAAGCTGGACTGTTTTGAGTGTGTTTTGCTGAACCTTAATGAATCTGCAAATAAGAACTGGATTGGCATTGGATAGTAGATGCACAATGATGTGCTGCCTCCGATGGAACTTCGTGTTCAAGGTCGCCAGCATCCAATGCGTCCAATGTCCCATCACCCTCAGCAATAGATGTAGTTTTTGAATCATCACCACATGGTTCATTGCTCCCATCGTTTCCCTTTGTCTCGGTCATCTTCACCCCGAACATCCAAAACGAGCCTCCCATGGTCGCACTTTGGGTACCAAACGCTGCCTCTGAACCCCTAGAAAAAAACAAGTTTGTTTCTATTTGTCTCGGTCATCTTGGCTTCGGACACCTGGTCCCGCCACAGCTTTTCCCAATCTAATTCTGGTCCAAAACCCGCTCCCATGGTCGCACTTTGGGTGCCAAACGCTGCCTCTGAATCCCTAGAAAAAAACAAGTTTGTTTCCATTTGTCTCGGTCATCTTGGCCCCGAACACCTGGTCCCGCCACAGCTTTTCCCAATCTAATTCTAATCCAAAACAAGCCTCCCATGGTCGCACTTTG